AAATGAGTGTGTAAGGGGGTGAATTGTAAAAAATAACAATTTACAATCGTGATTATTTATTACACTTGCTATAACGAGTTTACATGAACGATAATACTTATCTATATGCAAACTCGCGTTATGTGATGAATTGATGGTACATCGTTTGTCGAATGAGTTACTGTATAAAGTATTAAATTATAAACCCTTTTATAAAATGAAAAAAAAAGTGTTAAATTAATATACAAAAATTTCTTAGGGCCCGTTTGATTGCAAGTGTGGGATTTGGGTGGAAAGAAAATGAATTACAGGGAACTAAATAGCCTAGAATTATTTTCTTGAGAATTGTCAATTAATTGTGTTTGATTAGTGTAATTTTTTACTTGAAAAATGTTGAAATTTTGGATCTTTTGGTATTCGTTTGACCTTGTTTTCCATGAAAATTGTCCATTAAAGAATTTTTTTTTTTTTTACAATTGTCCAAAGCATTTGTTTTCATTGAAAAATAAAAAATAAAAAATTGGAAACAATTTTTCCACCAAAGTGGTGGGAAAACCAATTCAACAAAAAATGGAAAAATGGGTCACGTGGGGGGTGGGATGAAAATATTTTTCATGAAAATTTTTGGCTATCAAATATGGCAAAAGTGGGAAATAAAATTTCAATTCCATTTTTCATGGAAAAAAAGGGCCTATCAAACAAGCCCTTAGTTCTTAAACCATGAGATCTGTGTGCATTTTCCTTGACAGCTTGATAGAATACAAGGAGCATCGACCGTTTTCTTTAAAAAAAAGCTATTTTTTCATCCAATAGTTTTTTGTCAACACACTTTCAACAACGAGTGACAAAAAATGATGTGCAAATGGCAAAATCCTTTTTCTTATACATTGTTGGCTAACTTAGGTGAATTGTATAAAGATTAATAATTTTAAAAGAAAAAAATTAAAAAATTGTCTACCGTTTATTAAGTTATATGCGGTGACGGTCCGTATGTAGAATTAAGTTTACCCATAGAGGACGTTTTCTAAGTTTGCATCCCTGACTAAGTGTATGTATTTCTATTCTTTGGTCATCATCAAAGTCTTGTATGATTCGATGGTTTAGATTAGACAAGGTGAGTCGGGCCGGGTTCAGTAGGAAATTTCCTCAACCACGCTTTCACATTAATTACAAGAATTGCTTCTTGATTTTTTCCAACTATCTTCGTGATGGCGAAATAGAACATTATGGCACCAAGCATGTAGGCTATAAGTTATAACGGTATTGCAAGCCTAAGCCGGATCGATTTGCCTATATATATATATTGATAATCGTGAGTGTTCGAGCCAACTTGCGCGCACCTTGACTAATCTCACGAGACCCTGAAGTTTATGACTGGGTATTCACCTCAGTGGTCCCGAGGGGACTCGAACTGGTGACCATTGTGGAGCAAACCCAATATCTGACGAATTGAACAATTCCTCAAGGTTGATCGACTTGCCTACTTGGCTTCTCTACTCTTTCAAACCCCTCAATCGAGTTTGCAAAATTTTCTTTCTTTTTTTTTCGTACCAAGAAAATTGGAAAAAGAAAATGTCTTGAGGAGGGCTTCGTCCTCATTTTCCGATTTGCTGTCAATATCAACTAGTAGCTAATAAATTGGTGCAAGGATCAAATATATATATAATGTTATGTAGTACGGAATTAGAGTATCCATAAGGGTGCATTTGATTATCAATATTTTCCATGAAAAATGTGCATTTTCACTTAATTTCTTATTTTTGTATTGTTTGATTGACAATTTTTTTCCGCGGAATATATTTTTCTACTTTTGTTCACGTGATCGTATTTTCTGTTTTAGAGAGTGAACACCTAAAAACAAGTTTCAATATACTCTATTTTAACTTCTAAAAATAAGAAAAATTGAGAGAGTTCAACTCACTATTTATTCTTATTTTATGATGATTATATTTTATAAACTACAAATTTCAAGATCCTACTTTCGAAATCATTCAAATCATATCTGGATTGATTGACCACTGACATATACAAAAATATGTTAAAGAGAAGACGGTGAGAAATCAATAAATATTTTTTGAAAAGAGCAAAATAAAAAACAAAAATAAATAGCATTTGTTGGAGTAGAAAAGTAAAAATTCATTGATAATTATAATTGACGAATTCTTAAAATTCTAAAGTCACAATTTGCATGTGCATGGCCTCAAAAGTGATTTGACGCCACGATTGCTTAAACGCTTGATAATCAATTTTGAACAAGAAATCATGTCTATAAATTTGAATGATACGTTTGGTATGTTATTATTGTTTAAATTATTATCGTGTGAATTATGAGTCTGAAAGGAACTTTTAAATACATCAGAATAAAATTCCCTTGGATCTAAAACTTTGATAATTTAGTATGTTTGGAAGTAGTTCATAAACAGTTAAAATTATAAACAGATAAAAATAAAAGGTGCATGGATAAAACTTGTAGATAATACGAAATGTATGGATAAAAAATAATTTATGAACATTCGCCAAACAAGGGTATCGTCATCTAATTATTATCAAATTTCATTAGCCTTACCTCCTATACATGGCGACATAGGCCCGAAAAAAGAAGATTAGTACTGGGGTTTAGGGTGTTGGAAAGATGTTGGTGGTGTAGGGTTATTGGTGCGTAAGTTGTTGATATCTCTCTTGTGAAGTGTCGGACTTGTTTTTGCGTAACTACTCAATTTCCTCATAAGGATCTATATATTTGCTCAACGTGAGAGTGACACACTTACGTAATGCACCCCTTATTACCATTATGATACATATCCACATTTGTAGATCCAGGAAGAGAGGTGAGCACAGATGGTGAGAGGTGAACATTGGCGGCCGCCCAATACAAGGGAAAAAATTTCGACGGTTATAGCACGAGTAGCCATCGGTACTCACTGAGTGCTGGATCCGTTAGTGCATATTCAAAGGTGTTTTTAGTTTTAAGTTCCGGTTTGGTACATTTTAAAAAGCTATTAAAATTTTAAATTAAAATCAACAATTAATTTTAACTACATATTTTATCGAATTCACAATTTTTATCAACTTTTTAATCATATATTAATCATTTTTATTTTATCAAATTTCCTAAAAAATTGATTTTGGCAAAATCAAATTGGGCTAAATATGTGAAGAGATTAGCCCCCTGGGGCACATTCAAGTTGGTGGAATAATTGCATTTGTGGACTCGCAACTCCAGCGTGGAGAATTCGATTCCTGGAAGGCACGAATCTTGAGATTTTCTCGAAGGCAAGACAATGACTGGAAGGCGGTGATGAGAGCTCTTTTGGGGTCATGAGTATAAGCAGTGCAGGAACCTGTGAGTCAATAAGGGCATAACCTGCAGTTTACCTCCTCGAGTGGCTGAGGGGTCGGTGGCTAGAGGTCTAGGATTTAGTCTGGATAAGATGGGATACCAAAAAAAAAAAAAAAAAAAAAAAATAATNTCACAAATTTTATCAACTTTTTAATCATATATTAATCATTTTTTTTTATCAAATTTAATAAAAAATTGATTTTGGCAAAATCAAACTGGCCTAAATATGTGAATAGATTAGCCCCATGTGGCACATTTAAGTTGGTGGAACAATTGCATTTGTGGGCTCGCAACCCCAGCGTGGAGAGTTCGATTCCTGGAAGGCACGAGTCTTGGGATTTTCTCGAAGGCAAGGCAATGACTGGAAGACAGTGATGAGAGCTCTCTTGGGGCCAATGAGTATAAGCAGTGCAGGAACCTAAGAGTCAATAAGGACATAACCCGCAGTTTACCTCCTCGAATCGCTGAGGGGTCGGTGGCTAGAGGTCCAGGATTTAGTCTGACTAAGTTGGGATACCTGAGTATCAAAAAAAAAATATATATATATATAAATATATATATATAAAATCTCTTTATATATATTTTTTTGGCCATTAGTGTGGTTATAAACTTTATTTTGGGTTATGGTGTTGCAGGTAATAATTGGTAAAGTTTGGTGAAAAGGTGAAATAAGAGTGGATTTTTCCAACTAAGAAGAGTCCTCTTGACACATCAACGAACGCCAGCTGTAACATACGACTCTTGCCCCGCTCCAATCCACATTTAACCATCCCCACTAACTATTTTTCAGTATGCCTTCCCCACTCTCTCTGGCATGTACAGGAGATCGTTCTGTCCTTTAGAATGTCAGACTAAAATTATTATTAATTTTTAAGATGAATAATATTGAATTTTAATAATACAACACTTCACATTTGGTGCCAAGTATATATATTTTATGGTGATGACTACTAGAATATCTAATCACATTCGCTAATTTAACTTTCGTATTTCAATGTCGTGTTGAGTCAACCGAATCCTTTTATCTGTGGGTGTTCTTTTCGATCTCTATGAATTTCAAAATTTCAACGAAAATTTTTTCGGTCCCTATCGTAATCCAATGCCCCTCTACCATATCTATAAAGATAGGCGTGATTAAAATTAATCTAATAAAAAAAAACTTTTTAAAGGCCTGCGAAATTGTGTAATATATACAGTGCAATGAGTCGGGCAGTCTATTATATATTGAGAAAAATAGGAGTCCACAGTCCGTCAGTCCCCCCTGTTCTATTTCTTCTATATTATACGTACACGATCTTTGTATCTATATATCTGCTGATCATACACAGAGAAAAATAGAAGGTCTCGTGTTTTTATATATATACACCTCCTTGAATCTACACATCTATCTGCTGTTCTCAGGAGAGAGAGATATAGAGAGAGAAAGGGGTGTCAGGACATTGAGAGAGAGAGAGGTGTTTCCCGCCAAAACAACAAAGGCTCTGTCCCAGGTTCCCCCACTCCAGCTTTTCCTCTTTTTATACCCACGGAGTCCCTGCTTTCTTACAATTTGATCGTCGCTTTCTCTTCTTCACTTGAGTATTTGCTCTACAGTTTTGTTTTTACAGTTCCTTTCTTCTTTGAGGGCCTCAAAATCGAAGGATAATTGTTGTTATATCTGGTTTTGAACTTGTGTCAAGACATGAAACTGCAACCAGTAGTGAAGTTTACAGAACATGTAGTCACTACAAGCAAGCTCATCGATAACCGGCATCCCACAAAGCTCCGGTATACGGCGGTGAGGATCATACTCACCGATGGCGACGCTACTGACTCCGATGATGATGAAGGTTCCGAGAGAATCTTTGTCCGTAGAGTCAAACGACATGTTGAAGAGGTCAACTTTAAGTCGGAGATACCGAAAGAAGAGCGTAGTAATAGTAACAGTCAGAAAAAGAGGAGCTTGACTTCGCCGGTAAATGACGTCACTAGCCTGAAAAAGTTCAGGGGTGTGCGTCAGAGACCGTGGGGAAGATGGGCAGCCGAGATCCGTGATCCGACGAGTAGGAAACGGGTCTGGCTAGGGACTTATGACACTCCTGAAGAAGCTGCTTCGGTTTACGACACCGCCGCCGTGAAACTGAGAGGACCCACCGCTGTCACCAACTTTCCGGCAACTGAAAGAGTCTCTAATGACTCCATTACCGAGACCCCAACGGAAAGTGACGCAGTTTCTTCTGGAAACGACACTGCTTTGTCGCCCACCTCCGTTCTCCGCCATGATCATTTTACGCCGTTTGACGGTCTCCCCTGCTTCGACGGAGACGTTGACGCTTTCGGGTTTAGCATTGAATTTCCGTTCAGTCTGCCTAGTATCGGCCTGCCAGGAAAATACCTCGCCGATGAATTCAGTGAGTTTGACTTCAATGATTTTCTTGAAGAGGTCAGATGATGCGTCTCTGTCGGGAGTCGGGACAGTGTCGTCATTTCATGAAAAGTCATGGTTGCTTATGTAATTACACACATCAGTATTCGTGGTCTACACGGATTTGTTATTATTATCGCGAGTGTCCGATTAGTTACGGCGATTTTTGGCGGAGATATTTTTGTAGCGCTTTTTATTATTGTAAGGTAAAAAAATATGATATTATTTTTCATAATTAAAGTAGGAAAAAAGTGAGATTTGTGATCGTATTGAGATTGTTTGTTGAGAGATTTGGGATGTATTTATAGGTTATTAAATTAAACTTGTTGAAAAAGAGAGCTATGAAAATGAATTTATGAATGAATCTTGGTTTTAACCGTTGTTGAAAGTAACCTTACAAAGACGTGTTTGAAATATACTCCATACTTTTAGTCCACTTTTATTTTTGAAAAATAGTTTTCTTTTTTTAAATTTTAATCATATATTTTTTAATAAAATAAATATTACATGTAAATATTTATGTGCCTAACCCTCGTATAATACATGATTAAAAAATAAGAAAAATTTTTGGACGAGCTCGGGCCACGAGCCGAGCTAGCTCATTTTGCCACGAGCCGAGCGGGTGCTCGGCTCATGGCACACGAGCCACAAGCTCGCACTAGCTCGCCACGAGCTCGTGCGATCATGGGCCGAGCCGGCTCGGCCCATTGCCACGACTACTCCAAAATCTCTTAGAATGTGTTGTAATGCATGGCAACTACTTTTGGATTGTCCTAAGTCTTTAAAAGACACCCTAAGATTTGTTTTCATAAGAGTTGAAATTATATAAGGAAACCAGAATTTTTCTTCTGAAATTACACTATGCTATTGCAAAGTACATTTCAATGCTATAGTAAAGTTCAACCATTTTCAGCTCTGAAAATTCCTGCATCACACCATGCGACCGCATGGAATTTTACACTATGCGATCACATAGTGTGTATTAAAATCCAAATATTGCGTTTTAGTTTCAAAACTCTGTTTTCTCGTTTCTCGTTTCTTGAGCTCTAAAGAGCGAAGAAGAAGAAGGTTGTGATTATTCCTTCGCTCAATTGGTTTTTGAATCTTTCACATCTTTGTTTCTTCTTTCAGGTCATCTTTTGAATATTTGCACTTTGGTCCATGAACTTTAATTTTCTTTCATTTTAGTAATTTTTCGCTTCTTTTTCCTAAATTCCACCATGTTTATCAATATTATCCTATTAAGCATAATTTATATAAAATTAAGTCATATTTCGATATATTTACCAACAATTGTCCATATTTTGTGCCCTAAATAAGTGTATAAAATGCACTTATTAATGTGGTACTTCCTTTTATAGCAGATGAAATAGACCTTGCTTTACTTCACCCATTCCAATCATTTTTCAAGTCAAAAGGTCCTGTACGAAACACAGGTCAGAGAGAAAAATAAGACAACAATAATGGTTTGTGCTAATTTTCTTGCTGATATGAGATTGAAAGAAAATGAGGGCACAGAAAGCACATTGTCCTGAATTAAACATGCTGAAAATTATATTATCCCTATGTGTGTGATAGGAACAAGCTCACCATTTGGGAGCGCTACAGAATAAGAAACTTGTACACTAATTGTGGTATATAAAGAGGCTGTAAAGATCATATGATATGTGACACCTGTGTCCAATATCCAAGGATTAGTGGAGATACCAGTGATTTTTGTGCTATAAACTGAAAGACATAGAGATATATCAGAAATTTTGGGCATGTTGCCATCATTAGAGTGAGGCTGAGCAACAGTTTGAACGTTGTTTATAGAGGAAATGAATGTCTGAGGGCTTTGTGGTTTGAGTAATGCCATAAGCTGAGTATATTGCTCCTGAGTTATAGATATTTGAGCTTTGTCACTCACTTGCTCTTGGACAGAAGGCAGAAATGAGCTCGCCCATTTTGCCACGAGCCACAAGCTCGCACGAGCTCGTGCGATCATGGGCCGAGCCGGCTCGGCCCATTGCCACGACTACTCCAAAATCTCTTAGAATGTGTTGTAATGCATGACAACTACTTTCGAATTGTCCTAGGTCTTTAAAAGACACCCTAAGATTTGTTTTCATAAGAGTTGAAATTATGTAAGGAAACCAGAATTTTTCTTCTGAAATTACACTATGCTATTGCAAAGTACATTTCAATGCTATAGTAAAGTTCAACCATTTTCAGCTCTGAAAATTCCTGCATCACACCATGCGATCGCATGGAATTTTACACTATGCGATCACATAGTGTAAATTAAAATCCAAATATTGCGTTTTAGTTTCAAAACTCTGTTTTCTCGTTTCTCGTTTCTTGAGCTCTTTTCTCGCTTCTTCTTCTTCCAACACTTCATTCCTTCGCTCAATTGGTTTTTGAATCTTTCACATCTTTGTTTCTTCTTTCAGGTCATCTTTTGAATATTTGCACTATGGTCCATGAACTTTAATTTTCTTTCATTTTAGTAATTTTTCGCTTCTTTTTCCTAAATTCCACCATGTTTATCACTATTATCCTATAAAGCATAATTTATATGAAATTAAGTCATATTTCGATATATTTACCAACAATTGTCCATATTTTGTGCCCTAAATAAGTGTATAAAATGCATTTATCAATGTGGTACTTCCTTATATAGCAGATGATATAGACCTTGCTTTACTTCACCCATTCCAATCATTTTTCAAGTCAAAAGGTCCTGTACGAAACACAGGTCAGAGAGAAAAATGAGACAACAATTAATGGTTTGTGCTAATTTTCTTGCTGATATGAGATTGAAAGAAAATGAGGGCACAGAAAGCACATTGTCCTGAATTAAACATGCTGAAAATTATACTATCCCTATGTGTGTGATAGGAACAAGCTCACCATTTGGGAGCGCTACAGAATAAGAAAAATGTACACTAATTGTGGTATATAAAGAGGCTGAAAAGATCATATGATATGTGACACCTGTGTCCAATATCCAAGGATTAGTGGAGATATCAGTGATTTTTGTGCTATAAACTGAATGGCATAGAGATATATCAGAAATTTTGGGCATGTTACCATCATTAGAGTGAGGCTGAGCAACAGTTTGAACATTGTTTATAGAGGAAATGAATGTCTGAGGGCTTTGTGGTTTGAGTAATGCCATAAGCTGAGTATATTGCTCCTGAGTTATAGATATTTGAGCTTTGTCACTCACCTGCTCTTGGACAGAAGGCAGAAATGTAGTGGTTTGATTAGCAAAATGACTTGAGAATTTATTCCTCCCATCTGATTTGTAGCTTGGTGGATACCCATGTAATTTAAAACACTTGTCTACTGCGTGACCAGGCATGTGGCAGTGAAAGCATGTTGGCTTGTTTGGAGTAGCTTTAAAACACCTCTCAAGAGAATGTCCTGCCATCTTGTAGTGAGTACAGTAATACTTATCCTTTCTTTGTGCAGACATGTTCTTCTC